CTCCCACCATATGCCAGGCAAAAAACCCCTAATGTTTGGCAGTTCTTTGGGGGAGACAAAGCTGGGGAAAAGTCTCTTTATAATCCCACAAAAAATAATTTTCAAGACCGTCTTATTAATTAGACTGTTACGGAGTCGCGCCCAACACAAGACCATTGACCCACAAGCAGCTGCAAAGTAACAAGGCAAAAGTTTATTAGAGAAGAGCAAAGGTTTACTAGAGAAAAGGAGACAGAAAGCAAATCCGGATTTGGGCTACAGCATGGCCACGCAGGGTCCAAACTGAAGCAAAAACCAGTTTCTTGACCCCTTTTATATACTTCAAACCAGTAAGGAGTAAGGGGGGGGAGTGTGTGAGGAATGTGGAAGGGTGTCTGCATAGGATAACAAGATGTGGGCAGCTTAGCCTGTCCAGCTTATCTTGGTCCAGGTGCGCCTGTAAAACTTTTTGGCTGACATTTACGAGCGTCAGTTTGCAGGGTCACAGTGGCTTACTTTTACGACTTGTTTCTCATCTGCTAGAGATAACATAGTTTCCGAGACTTTTAGAGATAACATAGTTTCAGAGACTTTTAGAGATAACATGGTTTCAGAGTGGAGTAACACAATTCAAAATGGGGTAGCTTAAGTCAAGTTTCTTCATTCTATTGAGCCTTAACATAGACCAATGCATAGATTGAATAATACATTCATCTTTTTCAGCTTTGAACTTTAGAGAATCTCTTCTGTAAGGAATAGTAAGTTTTCTATTGTATTTTTTTCCTCCCTAAATTATATGTATTTTATTGTCGGCGTTGTGATTATATATAGTGAAAAATACACCAGCTCAGCAGTTGCCACATGTACAAGTTAACAACACTGATTATACTCTCTGAGTCATGCAACCAGTCTCACCTCCTCTCAAGAGCGGTTCCTCCCTCATGAACATAAACTTACCCCCCTAAGATGAGTGTGATCTTTTCAGTAGCTGTCATTTAGATAGATAATTCTTACAGGAGTATGATGCTCAAGGAAGACTTAAAAAAAAAATTTTTTTTTTTTAAATTACTGAAGCTAACCCAGTTTGGTTTAAGAAAACACTTAGGGTATATTTTTCGGTTCAGCATTTAAAGATTACCTCAGGACAAGAGTTTCTGAGGTTTTGTTAGGTAGGCCAGCATAGGACTGGGGGATGTCCGTTAATGCGTGCCCAGAGGGTCAAGCTAGGGAAACAAAGGAGTAGCACACCGCACATGTTAAGGGTTCCCGCCGGTAGGCAGGGGTGGGCGTGAACTTGAATTGGATCACCTAGCCAGGTAAACCCAATTCAGCCAATGGGGTCGATCAGGGGTCTTCCACCACGCCTCCCTGTGGAATCTTTGAAAAGGCATAAGCCCGGAGGGGGGAAGAGAGAGAACTTAGACTGGAGGAGAGAGAACTGAGGCGCAGAGAGCTTTGGCACGCTTTGCGGGACGCCGAGCCGCTTCCAGCTAGGCCGCATGTCCGGGAGGAGCCCCCTTGGGTGCCGTGTAAACCTGAAACTTCTAACTTTCATAAAACTCACTTCGATCACGAACCAGGCTTCGGCGTGAATTCTTTCTCGCGCGGAGCCAAGGACCGAGGTATAAATCTAGCTCCAGAGAGACCTAACAGTTTGTCCAGATTCAATGGCTTCAGAAAGTCTAGTGTCCCTGAAAATGAGAAATTCTGTACGTTTTTGTTTTTTTGTTCAGGATTTTCTATGTAAGTTGTCATCAAGTCTTAGCAATGGTAGCCTTGCCTATGCATTTTTCTATCTTAGGAATTTCTCTTTTTCTGTGTAGCTTTGAATTATTTTTGAGTACTTTTTCCCTTCTCTCCACAGAACTCCCATTATTATTTTTATAGGGCCAGTTCTCCCAGATATGAACCCTCTGCGCTTCCATTCACCTAGGGGTATGTTAATTTCACCTCCCTGTTACAGGGTAGATCACTGGGTACAGTTTTCATGGTCGACAATTTTTGTTTTCCTTTCATACTTCAATCATATCATTCAGTTGCTTCCTGACCTGCAGTGTTTCTGAGGGAAAAGTGGCACTTATTCTTTTTGAGAGTTCTGTGTATGTATACTTGTTACTTTCACATTGCTTTCAGGTTTGTGTCTTTAGTATTTGAGATGCTAAATATGATGTTTCTTTGTGTATATTTCTGTGGGCGTATCCTAGTTGGGGTTCTTTGATTTTCTGTATTTGCAAATGTATGTCCTTTGTTAGATCTGTGAATTTTCCAGATAGTTTTTCTATGTGTTTCTCACTCTTATTTGCTTCTGGAATTCCCATGATTCATATGTTACATCTCTTGTGGTGGATCCATAATTCCGTTAAACTGTACTCCTCTTGAGTCTTTGTTCTTATTTCTCTTTAGTGTCTGTAGTTTTAACTATCTTATCCTCTAATTTGCTGATCCTTTCTTCCACTGTTTAAAAATCTGTTGGCAAGTTCTGTGGTGTTTATCATTTCACTTTTCATCGATCCTCATTTTGTCCTTGGATTATTCTCATGATATCGTTTAGGTATACTTGTGTCTTTTCTTTGAGTTAGTTCTCCGTGTTTAATGTGGTTGCATTATATTCTTTCATCAACCCCACCCCCATTACACGTCCTCCCCAGGTATGCTTTCACTCCCTTTGTCAGTCATTTGAAAGAAACATTCTTTCTCCTTTGTTTTTCTTGTGATTTTGTTTGTTTGTTTTTGCTATGGCAGTAGAAATTTCAAAATTGTTAACATTCTCTATTTTCCTCATTATTTAGTGCTTTTGTCCACACTTCATCTGCAATAAACTCTTTATTGGAAGAAACTTTGGCCTTTGCTAACCATATCCTCTTCCTTTCTCAGATAGCTCCCTCTCCTTCCTGTGTTTGATAGGGATTCTTCTAAAGCTCCAGACCTTGTGTTTCAGCTTTCATTCTCCCAACACTAGTGAACATGCTGTGATCAGTCTGTCTGCAATGGGCACACCACTCAAGTGAGATATATTGTGTATTACTGAATTTGTCCACCAGGAAGTACAGTTCCCTCTGGGATTATTATTCCCTTCCCTTCTGTTTCTGCAGTCATATTTTCAGTTGGAGACCTTACACCCATACAATTCACTTCATTGTCGGGTGTTATCTCCTGTATTTGCCTAATATTTCCTTTCTAAATCTATAGGGACTAATTATAGCTCAGCTAGCATTCAAGGGACTCACAGGCAGATTTTCCTTCATCTCTAGAGGAATTGGGTCTGCCATTCTGCACAAGGAGCTGCAAGAGTTCTCTGTCTTGTTGGGTTCAGCGCTCCAGTGATGCTGTGGTGGTTAGGGGTACGGTATTTATTAATGTGATCCATTTCCTAACTTACTGTAGGGAGCCTTCTGTACTCATTTTTATTGGTTCAGCAGTTGACAATTAGCAGTTGGGGAACAGGTGGGTGGGCACACTCTGAAAGGATGCCTGAATTATTACATGTAGGTTTCTCTCAGACACCTGCTTTCTAGCACACAGGAGCCTCAGTCAGCCGTCTTGAGTGTCTCCTGTCAGAGGGAGTAGACATAAACTGATTAGAGTTGAGAACATTTCAGGGAGGGTCATCCTGTTGGCTTTTGAGACCTGAGCTATGGGCTGCACCAGGATGCAGTTCTGCTGACTATGGAAACAGAGTCCATTGCAGGGATGTTCTGTAGCAGTTTGCATCAGCCTGGCACCCCACAATTACTAGGTCGGGTGTGTGATCACATCCGGTCAGATCCTAGTGGAAGTCTGCTTTGCTGCTATCAGAGCCCACCTGGTGGATTGTGGGGTGAGTAAAGCCTCCACTCAAGACTCCTGCTGCCTAACACACAGTGACCTCAATCAGCCATCCTTAGTGCCAACTGTCAGTGAGCACAGGCTAACCCTAATTAATCTCTAATGAGGTTTCTCTTGCTGGTTTCAGGCCACAAGGATGGGGAACGCCAGGAGGCAGGTAGAGTGCTGACTGTAGGAGCAGAATCGACTCCAGAGGCCACAACAGACTTTCAGGTGAGAGTAATGGATGGAGGAGAGGCTGCTGGGCTTGTCCTGTTGTCAATGTTTTCCCTGTGGTACGTTGGCTGTGGGTGTAGCCTCAGTTAAAGATGCCTGCTTCTTAGCATACAGGAGCCTCCTTCAACAGTCCTCAGCACAGACTGGGCAGATAGACAAGAACAGCCTTCCCGTGGGATCTCACCAATTGGTTTCAGAGGCCTGATGTATGGGATGCCTAGGGAGGTGAGTAGTGTATTGACTATGGGAGAAGGTGCCGTTACCCGAGCCTTTTGTAAAAACTTGTAGCAGGTTTGCAGTAAACAGTGTCAGGCTCAGGGAGGTGCTGGTACGCTCCAAATGGATCCCCAGGGAGGTCAGCCTTGTTGCTATCAGGCTCACCCCCTAGGGTCTGTTGGCTGTGGTGTGACCTCCATAAAGAAGCCTGCTTCTTGACACACTGCAATCTCAGTCAGAAGCCCTCAGTAACAGTGAGAGCAGTCAGATCAGCTCTGTCTCCCTGAGACATCTATTGGTTTTCAAGCCCTGAACAACTGGATGTGCCCATGCAGTGCTGACTAGGCAAGTAGACTCCACTGCACAGGCCTTCAGTAGCAATTTTGCAGTAGGCCTGCAACCAACAGTGTTTGAGGGGAAGGTGCTTTTACTGTCCCAACAGATCCCTGGGGAGGGCTTTGTGATGGTTTGAGTTTATAGCAACTTGATGGTGGAGGTAGTGGTGAAGTCCAACGAGTGTGGAGGTAGAGGTGAAGTCCAACCTATCAATCAGGTCACAGCTTGACCCTGCCTCCTTGGGGATAGGATTTTTTTAATAATGGAGACACTGAGAACTTCCTTTTCTCTTGCCTCGGATCACTATCCTGCTTGCCTAGGTTGTTCATCTGGTTCTGGGAGTTGGCTGGCCATGTGGCCTGCTGACCCTGGGAGCTGGAGCACGCTGCCATGTTCTTTCAGACCTTGGATCCACACCACTTGGCATCCAGTGGCCTGTGATTTCCCAGTTTCCTGCTTTGCTTTTCTGCTTCATCCCCCAGCAGCTGCATGAGGCTGAAGAGGTCTCCGGCTAACATTGTACTCCTGGATTTGAGTTGGACTAGACTGGATTTCCTTCTTGATATCAAATACTTTCTTGATTTAAAGTTCTTTGGTACAGAGATATGAGTGTCACTGGTCTTGTTTCTTAAGAAAACTCAGCTGGCCACAGTGGGCCTTGATTTTCAGGGCAGAGGCTTGGCATTCCGACTCACTCGTTCGTGAAAGGAGGGCTATGACGGCTGAGGGAAGCAGGCAGTTTCTCTGGAACCCCGTATCCCACTTCACAGTAACTGGTGGCGCACATGGGACAAGACCAGTGGGAGAAGTGACTTCCCTACCACAAGCTTCTGCTTGGTTTGTTGGTTCTTCTCTGTCTGTGGTTGCCTGTTGCTTTCTTCTTCTTCCCAATTCAGAGGCCCCCAAAGCTAAGCACATTCTCCTTGTCTGGTTTGTATTGGTCGGGGAGGCTCAGAATAATGCTTTGTTTACACCACCATCTTCCAAGAATTCCTTCTGGGATTTTTTTTTTTTTGAAAGAAGTAATTTTCCCCAAAGAACCGAAGCTGGCCGCCTATTGTGTTGTTTCTCAAGGATCTATATTGTTGTTGTTGTTGTGAGCGCCACTGACTTGGTTCTGACTTAGAGAGACCCCGTGTACAAGAGAATGACACCTGGCCTGGTCCTGTGCTGGAATTCACTGTTGCGGCCCCTGGGCCAGTTCATGTCATCGAAGGCCTTCCTTTCTGGCACTGCCCCCATACTTTAGTGGTTCTCAACCTTCCTCACCCAGGTAGCCTTCTTCCATATTTCTTGGCATAGACTACTGAGTGCTTCCGTGGCTTCATCAAGCTGATTGAAGCATTTTAATTGGTATTCCATCAATTCCTGGACCATTTTTTATTGCATGCTAGTGCCTTCCGTGCAATGTGGACTTCCTCCTTTGGCTCTCGATCCTATGCTATCTCTTGGAATGGTTCAATGTCAATCAGTTATTTTTTGGTATAGTAGCTCTGTGTATTCCGTATTCTTTCCATCTTCTTCTGATATTTCTCTATCATTCAATTTTTTTTCCCTGGGGAAAGATTCCCTCTGTCAAGGAGAGGGAAGGGAGGGGGAGGTTGGGTGCAAAAAAATTGAAATGGGCTGTGATATATACCCTGTATCCCCGAAAATAAGACAGTGTCTTATATTAATTTTTGCTCCCAAAGATGCACTAGGTCTTATTTTCAGGGGATGTCTTATTTTTCCATGAAGAAAAATACGGTACACATTTATTGTTTATTGTTTTATTAAAAGAGATCTTGCACTTTCTGTCTGCTCCAACTGCGCTGCGGCCAACAGCGAGCTGCGCAGTGGTGCCGCTGCTACGTTACAGTAGCTTCGGGGGCCTTATTTTCAGGGAGGTCTTATTTTGGGGGAATGTCTTGTATTTCAGCGAGAGGCAAAACTGTCAGTAGGTCTTATTTTCGGGGGATGTCTTAATTTCGGGGAAATATGGTACAAACAACACTCCCTTCAGATTCCTTTAGTGATAAACAAATTAATCTCAAATAAAACAAAACAAAACAGTCCCCATCCCCATAAATCAAACCCAAACAAACTCACTGCCGTTGAATTGATTCAGAAACCTAGTGACGGTATAAAGGGTGTATGAAGCTGTGCATCATGATGGGAGCAGGTAGCATCACCTGTCTCCAGTGGAGGCTTGTGAGTTTGAGTCCTAGACCTGTGGTCAGCAGTCCAATGCTTTCCAACACCAACACCAGAAATCCTGATTTTGCCCGTCCAGTTCTCCAATATGGAAACTTGATACTTGGATTTTTCTCCAGTTCTCTCAGCCTGATTTTCCCTTTTGTTCTATGCACACTTCATTGTAATAATTTTACGTGGTCTTCCCCAGTTGCCTTTGAGAACTTTCTGTTCCGTGTTTCACTTCATCTTGTATGGCATTGACGTTAGCTCCTGTGAGTTCAAGAGAGAATGTCAGAGTCACCTCAGAGAGAAGCTTTTCTGACACTTTTCGTTCCTTCACGTCTTTTGAATGGCCTTTTGTTTTCTTCATGTATGTCTTAAAAAGCAACTTTTTAAAACTGTGAATTAAGCTTTTATAGTAGATTGCTAGCTTTATATTCAATGATTCATGCACATTTTTTCCCAACTCATCTATTGCAACCCCCTCAGTGAGCCATACTGTATCCTGAGTTTCCTGTGCTTCTGGTTTCCATTGCTCCTTCTTTCCTAACCATTGCAAGTTTCTTATTTGTAAGCGATGCCTCTTGGTTCTTAAATGGTTGCTTATTCTACGCCAGGGCTGAGTTCAGTTCCAGACCTGAAGGGTGACTAAGGGCTAGAGGTTTGGTATTGCATTGGTCTCTACTTGCCCAGTAAGCCTGGTCTTTTTCATGATTTTAAATCATTTTCTACACGTTTCGCCTACCTTGTCCAAGCCTTTATAATGTGATTCTTTTCAGAGTAATTGGCTCTTATTTCTTTTGTACATAGCCTGGATCCATGTAGCTCTTCTTGCCTCAGGTATGTGGAGACCGCTGCTTGTCTGGTCCACTAGTTCATTGTTTTCTTATGCTTTTCAATGATCATCGTTCCTCTTTCCTTTGGTTGGGGAGAGACCGATGGTTAGACCTATGGTGGCTGCTCATGAGCCTTTACGATCTCAGCCGCTACTTACCCAGGTAGAATGTAGAACACTGTTTTTGTGAACTATATTATACCAATAGGCCTTAGTGTCTCCAAAGATTCTGCTCTGATCCTCTAACCCCCTAGTCATTCTCTCAAGGAATTTGAGTATATCCAAGAAGTAGCCATAACATTGCTTTTTGTGTGCTCCAATACATTCATGGACATGTTTGCAATAAAGATGAATAGAGCTATACAAATACCCTCTAAATTTTTTTCTATGTATTTGTGGGTATGCACTCCTTCTCTTATGCCTGTTCAGCTTGATGTCTATCTTAGTATCTACTTGTAGATTACTGCTGTTGCAGGATCGGTCATTTAACACTATTTGTCTCTGTTGCCTTTCACTGTTATAAGCCTCTTGATGTCTTGCTCTCCTTCCATTATTATTATTATTTTAACAAGTTCCCTCTTGTTGTATGTTACTTTCCCTTTCACCCAAGGTAACCCCTCTAGCCTGGGGCAGCTTCTCCTTTCTTGTCACTCTCAACTATTAAACCTTAAGTCGTGTTTCTTTTATTGTGGAAAACTTGTCTTGACTTAGAACAAAAGTGGTCTCATACAACATTTAGCCTCTTATAATTGACTACTTTTATTCAGCAGAATGTGCTTCAGGTTCATCCATGTTATGAGAGGTTTCAAAGATTCATTGTTATCCTTTAAGATTGCTTATTACTCTATTGTGTGTATATACAGAAATGTGTTTAACCATTCTATCACTAAGGGCATTTATGTTATTTCCATTTTTTTTCTACTGTGACTAGTACAGTGATGAACATGATTGTTCATATATTTATTTATTCTGTGGCTCTTATTTCTTTTGTACATATGCCAAGTTGGGAGATTGCTGGATCATATGCTATTTCTGTTCCTAACTTCTGGAGGAAGCATCATATTGCTTAGCACAGTGCTAGTGCCATTTTATAGTCCTTCCAGCAGTGTCTGAGTATTCCAGTCTCTCCAAATTTTCACCAGCATATATTGTCTGTTTTATGGCCCTTTGTCAAAAATATAGGTGATGTTGATGTCATGTCACAACTGTTTTGGTCTTCAGTCATTAGTGTGCAATGCCTCAAATTTTTCTTGGGATTATCTCTATATTCTGGGGATGTATACTCAAGGTTGTATTCTGGCTCTTGTGGACTGGCTTTAATTTTTTCAGAGCACTTCAGACACTGTATTATAATTGCATGCTCATATTTACTTATTTCATCTCTCAAATAGATTATAAACCACGTTAGCAGCATGAACTCAGCCCCTAGTAGC